GTCCTCGCACTTATGACCATCCTCACATTTATTCCCATTGCGGCATTCTTAACAACCGTGTCACTCATTTCACAACTGCTTCTCTTCATCATGGTGACAAGATAGGGCAAAAACATAAAATGTGAGGACAGTCGTAAGTTCGAGGACTGGTCAAAAGTGCGAGGACCAGTCAAAAATAACTTTTTCAGCCCTCTGAGTAGTCCATATGCACAAAAGGACTATCCAGAGGGCTGAAAAAAGTGATTTCTGACAGGTCCTCACACTTTTGACTGGTCTTCGCACTTATGACTGGTCATCATTTATGCCCATTGTAGCATTCTTAACAACCGTGTCACTCATTTCACAACTGCTTCTCTTCACCATGGTGACAAGATAGGGCAAAAACGTAAAATGTGAGGACAGTCGTAAGTTCGAGGACTGGTCAAAGTGTGAGGACCATTCAGAAATAACTTTTTCAGCCCTCTGAGTAGTCCATATGCATAACAGGATACAGCAATAGAGAGGGATGAAGGAAGGGAAGGGAAATTAGAGTAGGAGTGAGGGTAAGAGAGGGAGGAAGAGAGGAGGAGAAGGAGAAAGGAAGAGGAAGTAGGGAGGAGAAGAAGAGGGGGAGGAAGAGAAAGTAAGAAGGAAAGAAAAGAGAGAGGTGTTAGGTTTGAGGAGAAAGATTGCTGTACAATAAAAAAGATGAAAGGGAAGAAAGCCAACCCCAAACAAATATAAAGATATTAAGATAAAGAATGAATTGTTAAACTTTAAAGAATAAAAGAGAACAAATATGAATAAATAACAATAATTAGAAACACACATACAAACATACAATGTATTTTCTTTGAATTGAGTATTTGGCCGGTTCACAAATTTAAACAGTGTTTAGTCATTTCAATTAAATTTACAATTTCTATATTTCCTTTTTGCCATATTTATTCCTCATCTATTTTTGTAAAAAACCAATATTACCCTTCATCCTCATCTCTAATCTTAATCAAATTCAATTTTTCCCTTCTATTCTATATTATACCCCTTCCCATTGTCATCTATTTTTATATCCATCCTCACATTGGTTAATTATGTAATATTACAGTTGTTTAATATAAGTTCAACATTTTAATATAAATCAATTAGTTATATAACTACCTTTTTTGTATATTAATCAATATGAACATGAATATTCCAATTATTTCCATGCAATCCAATTTCTTACAAATCAATTAATTATATTTACCAATAATAATAAACCAAATAATTTCCCCCATATATTCCTCCAAACCACAACTTAACCATTTCTGCTTTCAACATAATATACAATTAATAGTATCTCAATTATTACAATTCCCTAGTTAAATAGAGCTTTTTTTCTTTTGTGCTTTAAAATCTTGAACTCTCCTCTTTTTCCCTAAATTTTCCATTGTTTGCACCTACCTTTTTTGGTGAGGAAAAAGAAAAGAAATCTGCCTGCCTAATTTTCCAACGTTGCAGCAACAGCAAAGCCAACAGCCTGCTTTACTTTCAGTTACATTTTTCAGCATAGCTAGAGGAAAAAAAATCTGCTCAAGCAAGCAGCAGAGCCCTGACCAAAACAGCTGAGAGCAAATCAGCTGAGAGTCGGGAGCTGATCTAAGCAAGGGCTAATTAGCCTATGCTGAAGCTCTGCGGGCCAATAAAATTACAAAAAAACACCGAACCGTTTGTTAAATTGCTGGCTCGCCCGCCCCTCACCCACCACTATTTATTGGCAATAAATAGTGGTGTGGAGGGGTGGGGCAAGAATATGTGAAAGCTAAGGAAAGGTTTTATCCAAACCTAAATACATCTTCTAAAACGCTTCTGATGAAGTCCCGTAGGGTTAAATAGGATCCTATAAAAGTAGATGGTCTTTTAGATACTGTGCTACTTACAATAGAATGCAAACTGAATATTACTTTTGAAGAGGACTAGATTCGGGGGACACGCATATTCTTTGGTTCTAACTTGAAGCCTCAATAATAAGGCCTGAAACTTTGGTCAAGGCTAAATACTTCTCTTTATGCCAGTAAGGAGTTGCTGAGATGACACAGGGTATTTTTATCTTAAAAGAGCAGACTGACCCAGACAGATGCATCCTGTTGCTTACTTCTGCATTCCACCCTAAATGTCATATATAACATATGATAAGTATAAGTAACTCCCAGTATATTCATGTGACTCCCTTTTTGCTTTTATCTATTACCAAATGTCTGGACTAGGCGTCTTTCGGTTCCTCCTAAGACCAAATATGTCTAAATGTAACACCCAGACAATGTATACGTAATTTAGAGTATAAAAACAACACCTTTGTACACCCTTCGGGGTTCAGACAATTTGCTGTGTTTACTGCTGTTTGAACCTCTATGCATAATAAACCTTTCCTGCATTGAAGAGCTTGGTTTGGTCCCGTCTTTTCCTACAACACTTTAGTGAAAATGCAATAACCTTGATAAAACTGTCATTTATAGGTAACTAGGAAATTGTATATTTGTATATGTAATCTGGCTATTTGTTCTTTGGCGTTCAAATCATCAGATAACATTATGCCAACTAATGGAATAAAAGCAAATCACATGCTCACTAGAGAATTACATGATCATCATGATTACTGAAATAATTTAATAGGATTTCCAGTGGGAAAAGAATGAAAGTAGGCACCATAATGAGATCAAATATGAAGACAACCCAGAAATGACAATGCTACCAAATCTTGATTTCTTAAAAAATTGTCTTTGCATATTAACTTTATAAAAAGTAATAGGTCAACATGAAGACCTTTAAGCAACTGAAAATATAGGTAGATTTGTTAGGCAGATATAAGTAGTATTCTGCACAGCATCATGGTGGCAGATAGCATATTCAGATGGGGGGGTCTCACACCATTAATTCTAAAATGTAAAGAAAAAGGTCTTTGCAAATTTAATTGGTTATGTCTCTCACTTAATACTTTCTCCATATCTATCTACATTTCAATGATCTGTCCATTTAATTGGCATCCAGTTAAACACATTGGAAAGGGAATGGAGCTGTAGAGGAAAGATGGAACAGAGTTCAGCATTCCATCATCTATATATTCTTTCAAATATTTCACTTATGGCATCATCCTTCATTTTACCCACATAAACATCCTAAAAATTTAAAATTAGTCTACATATGTAAGACCATATTGTGTAGTCATTTAAAAAGAGACCTTTCAAAATGGTATTTTAGTAAAAATGTAGTTGTTATTAGACCTAAGCTAATCTTTTCTTCTTGAGTTCATTAAGAACATTCCACATAAAATTAAGCCCGATTTAGATCAGAAAGAGAGTAAGTTCAGATCCATTTTCAGTTGAGGCCACTGTGCTTCCTATAATATCTTGGGAATACCATAATTCAGAAGCTGGAAACCTTTTCTCCTGTATGTCAAAAAACATAGTCATCCATTAATACAGGTAGTCCTCAGCTAATGCCCACAATCTGGATCAGAATTTTGGTCGCTAAGCAATGCATTCATTACGTGAGTCATCACATGACCAAGCCCAATTATGGTCATTAAGTGAATTATAAGAGTTCATAAGTGAATCATGTGGTCAATATGTTAATCACATGGATGTTAAGGAAATCCAGTTTTCACAATTGACTTTGCTTGTCAGAAGCTGACTACAGTCATCATCACATGTGCCCAAATTGTGATCACAAAAACACAAAACCACAAAGGTGATGCATGATCAGAACCTTGAGGATGGATCATAAATCACTTTTCCCAAGGTCTTTATAACTTTGAACTATCAATAAACAAATAACTGTAAGTCAAGAATTACCTATATGGCACTCTAGGCTTCGATCTTAAAACTATAGCATTGTCAACATTTTTAAAATCACAGTTTGATTAAAGAAAAAAAACAAATACTGTAAAACAGCAACAAAAGGGCAGCATAAATATTTCATTCAGAAAAGATGTGATGGAAGAACAGAATATTAATATTTTTGTCATTATCACCCTACTTGAAATATGTGTTCTGTTACTGAGTAAGTCTCTTATTATTTATCTAAAACATTATAGATGCAATTTTTCCCAGCTGTTGCTCTCAAAATAGGATAGGCTGGAATTATCATCTTCTTTTAAAACATACTTTTCTATCTATTTAGAAGAATTTTCTCAACTTGGTGTCTTCCAAATGCTGGATAACAATTCCAATAATATCTAGCCAACATTGCAAATGGCCAAGCTATTTGAAGATGATGAAGTAGACCGAAGGTGATCAGGAAGCCATCAGATAAGCAAAGTCTGTTTCAGAAAGATTAATATTGGACATCAGCTGCACACGCACACATACACACACACTCACTCACTCACACACATACACACACAATACTCAGCAGAGATCACCTTATAAAAAACTAGTGCAAATCTGATTAAACTACTTATATATGGGTATTTTAAAGGTTTGTAAGAAGTTAAATAAGCACAATTGATATCTTACTATTGCAATATTATTCTGAAGACAAAAAAAATGGAAAATCTTTTTCTCATAATAAATGCAGTAAAAAAACATAATGGTATATTTTCACAACATAGTGTCACAATTTTGGAGTTCTCACAACTCCAAATTTAAATTTTTCCTCTCTAAAGACTGGAGCAAAAGACATCTACGTATAAAACATGGAACAAGGCATTTCTCTCAAAGAGTTTTATATTTATATGTAGGAAATCAATTTGTAATACCAGTCGTATCGTTCAAATCAGATGACATTGTCTAGTTAGAAGATAATTTACTTGGCTGCCGAAGCAATTTGATAGTTGTTCTGATTTGTGATTTTCATTTTGTTTGTTAATGAAAAAAATTAATGAGCAATGTTACTGGAAGTACAGCTCCAAGAACTGGCATTATTAAACATGCTTTCACTATACTGTATATTATGTTGATTGCACTGTCAGAGCCTGAACTTTGGCTACACAAACCAATCAATCAAACTGATATGGAATTTTCAGGAATGACTTTTTCACTTACCTTTGCACTGATTTGTGTTTTTGTCTAGGATTGCTTTTGTAGATACAATTTTTCCATACCTAGAAAACAAAAAGAGAAAAATAACATTTTAGACATAAAGACATAGATATATATTTGTTTATTTTATTGTGATTTCAATCTCATTCAGTCACCTACCATTATTAAGACACAGAAGTAGATTTCACCACTGGCAAAAACTGTGACATTAAAAGCTCAGAATGCAATCTCTATGGCAGTGATGGCAAACCTTTTAGAGACTGAGTGCCCAAACTGCAACCAAAAACCCACGTATTTATCGCAAAGTGCCAATACAGCAATTTAACCTGAACACTGAGGTTTTAGTTTAGAAAAAACAACTCATACATTAGCATCTTTTGTCTTAAAACAAAAACTCAATAACAGAGCTTCCAATGATACAAACAACTTTTTATTGAAAAGTAAAAGTTTGCATTTGGCATGCTTTTGAACTTGGAAAAGTTAAAAGAGTCAAGGCGTATGTAAGATAATGCAGCAAACCCTAGACTTTTAGAGACAAGCTATAACAATTTTAATTCAGGCTTTGCAAATAATTTTTAGGATGGGCTTATCAGCAGGCGGGGAAAAACCAAGTTACTGATCAGGAGGGTACTTTGGCTAACCAATAACTGGGACTCCTCCGCACAACCCTATTGAATAACAGAAAGGCTAAGCTGGGTATGGAGAGACGGTGGGGGAATAAGAGTCATTATTTCACCTTCTCTCCTCAACCCAAAAAAAATCCAGAGGTGAAATGGAGCCTTCTTTCTGCCAAAGCTTTCAGGGGCTTCCAAACTACTCCCAAGGGCTGTGAGCAGAGGCATGGAGAAGGAAAGCCCAGGCACGTTCTTCCAAATTGCTCCCACCAGTTTCTTCAGGAAAGCCCTACCATTGAATTGACTTGAAAGCAAAAGGGAGCCTCGAGGTGACTTCAGCATGACCTTCAGCATGAATCCTTCTGGTGCTGCTTCCTCCTCCACACCGGAGCAGTGGAAAGGACTCTGGCCGGAATTAGGCCGGCTGATGTTGCAGCGATATCGGATGTGAGGAACGGGTCTCCATGCTCCTGCGTTGAGTTCTCCATGTTAGAGGGCTCCGAAAAGAGCTTAGGCTATTCTGGAAGGGTGGTGAAGAAAAGAAGGACACCCTGCAGGTCATAGAGAGTCGCAATCTCTCCTGCTTGACCCAGGGTTTTTTTCCCTTTTGCTTCATGACAAGGAGAAGAAGCAGTCAAAAATGGCTGCTGTGAAGCTGCGACAGTCAAGGCAACACAGAAAGCCCAGGAGAGGTGTAAGTGAACAGTGAATGGAACTGGGTGAGAAGATTCCTTTTTTACTCAAAACCTAACCTTAAAAAGAAAAGAGGAAAAAAATCTGAAAGACATTCTTAACTATTTATTAAAGTGGTGAATTATTACATAGAGAAAAACTACAGACCCAAAAAAGAAGAACTAAGAGAGGAAAAATTAAAAATTTCAAAGTACAGAAAATTGGATGGCTAAATTGGGTAGGTGTTATTTCGAAAAGGTATTTCACAATGCTGGATCTATCTACTTTAATAATTGACTTTGCTTTATAAATCAAATTTAAATTGGATTTAATAGCTATTAGAACTGAAACCTAAGCTGAGAGCACTATCTACTGACGAAGGAAAATATACCATATTTTACAACCCTGGAAAAAATTTCGATTAGAAAAATAAACAACATTTATTTGGAGAACTGTGGTGATATTTACTGTTCTATACTTATCTACCTTATTACTATGGGAGTCCAATAATGAGAACAAGGAAGATACCTAAGTAAAGCATTTTTGAATGTTAAGATATATGACTAAACTTATAGAGTGGACATATGGAGATATTTGGAGAGTTTACTGGACTACCTGAATATCTGATTGAATAACCCTGGGATATAAAAGAACTATGACAAAAAAATACAACATTTAATTATACATATCACAACAGCAGCGAGAATAACATATGCACTAAATTGGAAGAATAACGATACACCATCAGATCAAATGGTGATAAAAAAAGTTTTAGAGTGTGCAGAGATGGACAAACTTACTAAAGAAATACAAGATAAGAGAGAAACAGGGTGTTCGTCCTGCCTGATATGCACCTTCACATTGGGTGGAGACAGCAGCCAGGAATGGGTATTCTCGCCTGTTCAGCTTGAAGGACTGAGCAAAATTAAGCTCCGCCCTTGTTGCTAGGAATATCCAGCTTTTGACCAAGATGACAAACAGACTCAACGTCTCGGGAGAATGAAAGAAAGGTTAACAAGGAAGACCAGACAGTCAAAGGGTAGGGCTGGCTGCTGTCTCCACCCAAAGAGAAGGTGTGTATCAGGCAGGACCAATGCCCTTTCTCCATTGTGGGTGGAGACAGAAGCCAGGAATGGGACATACCAAAGCTTAGTGTCCCAACTACGTGTGGGCCCCAGTCTGGGCCTAAGTCTCTGTAGCAGAGTGAACCCGCTGTAAAACCTTGGACCAAATGTCGCCTCTGCCGAGGCAAACTGGTCCAGCTTATAGTGTTGAACAAAGGACGAAGAAGACGTCCATGTTGCCGCCCTGCAGATATCGTTCAAGGATGCCTGCATGGCCCAGGCCGCAGAAGTAGCTGCACTGCATGTGGAATGCGCCGTCAGGCATGATGGCCATGGCAAGGAACGCAGTTTGTATGCCTTGGCGATCATCTGCTGAAGGCATCTGCCAATGGTGGAAGAAGAGACTTGGAACCTAAAGACACTGGAATAAAAGAAACAAACAAGGACTCTGTCCTACGGAAGTCAGCAGTCCTTTTGAGATAAATATGAAGGGCTCTCCAAACATCCAACAGCCAGCTCTGTTCTAAAGGGTGAGTGGATGTGGGCAAAAATTTGGGAGGATCAGTTCCTGCATGCGATGGAAAGTCGTATTGACCTTCAGGATGAAGGAGGGGTCCATACGAAGGACCACTCAGTCAGAGTGAAAAATGCAAAGGTTGCTTTGTTCAGAAAGGGTGGCAATCTCTGAAATCCGCCTGGCGGAGATAATCACCACCAAAAAGGCGACTTTGCATGACAGCAGACAGAGGCTGACAGTCCTTAAGGGTTTGTATGGGGCTCCTATAAGGGAGTTCAAAACAATAGACAGATCCCAGGTGGGATATCTGTGTACCACAGTGGGACATAAGTTAGTGGCTCCCCGCAGGAACCTATGTATAAGAGAGTGTTGGGACAATGAGATAAGGGACCCACAAGTGAGGACCGTAGAGATAGCTGCCACCTGTCTCCGAAACGTATTGGGCGAAAGTCCCCTCTCAAGTCTGTCCTGGAGGAAAATCAGGACATGGACAATTGAGGCCTGAAGGGCAGAAACCCCTATATGGTCACACCAATTACAAAATGCCCACCAAGTGGCCGAATAAATGCGGTCTGTGGATGGTCTCTGAGATGCTTGGATGGTCCGGATAACCCTGGAGGGGATGTTGTCCCTACTCAGAGTGCACCATTCAAGCGCCAGGCAGGCAGTTGGAGCCACCGAAGGTCTGGGTGGACCAACACCCCCTGGCTGAGCAAGTCCACAGTCTGAGGGACCATCCAGGGAGAAGCCACCAACAATGATTTGAGGTTGGCGAACCAAGACCGCTGGGGCCAATGTGGTGCCAGAAGAATGATGTCCGCCTGCTCCTCAGTATCTTCTGTACCACTCTTGGAATGAGTGACAGTGGAGGAAAGGCATACAGAAAACCTTTTGGTCAATGGCAGCGAAGAGCATCTACTCCCTCCGCCCGAGGAGCTGGAAATCGAGCATAAAAGCGGGGAAGCTGGGCATTCTCCGGGATAGCGAAGAGATCCACCTCGGAAGGCTGAAGAGGTCCGACAGGTCCTAGAAGATGGAAGGGTGCAGGCGCCATTCCGCATGGTCCATAGTCTGGTGGCTGAGCCAGTCCGCCTGCACATTGGATGCCCCCGAGATGTGCTCTGCTGCTAAGGAACACAGGTGATTCTCCGCCCATAGGCCCAGTCTGGAGACCTCCAACATCAGAGCCAAGGATCTGGTGCACCCCTGGCAGTTTATGTGGGCCTTCGTGGCCACATTGTCAGTAAGAACTAACACATATTGATCCAAGACTAGCCGGCGGAAGTGTCTGAGGGCCAAATAGACTGCACGCAGCTCCAGCCAATTTATGTTCTGGCATTGATTGGGGCCCAACCATAAGCCCTGAGCAACCTGCATCTGAAGATGTGACCCCCAACCGGAAAGGCTGGTGTCCGTCGTCAATACCAGATGGCGAGCCTCGTGGAAGAGCCTCCCTTTGGAGATGGCTGGAGACCTCCACCAGGTTAGGGACCTGCTGATGCTGGGGGGAACCTGGACCCTGGCTTAAGAATTGCCTTTGCCTGCCTTCTGAAAAAGAGAAACCATTGAAGGTTCCTCATATGAAGGTGAGCCCACGGGGTAATGTGGATGGCTGGAATCATCTTACCCAGTAAGGTAGACAGTAATGCCAGGGGAACCTTATGCTCCTTCTGAACTTTACTTACAAGTTCTTTAAGACTGACCTGTCGTTCCTGAGAGAGATAGACTTTACACTCTAGGGAATCTATCACTGGCCCCAGATGAAGAATATGGGTCAATGGGACCAATTGACTTTTCACTATATTAATAGAGAAACTGTGCCCTCGGAGATAATGCATAGTTACTTGGAGATCCTCTAAGGAAAGATGTTCAGAAGAGGACTGAATTAAAATATCATCCAAGTAACATTGGACATGGATAGGGATGGCCCAGAGATGAGCTGCCAAGGCAGCAAGTACCTTAGTAAAGGCACGGGGAGCAGAAGACAGTCCAAATGGTAAGGCACGGTACTGATAAAGTGTACTGGCATAATAAAACTGCAGATATTTGCGATGGGGGGAAAAATGGGAATATGCAAATAAGCCTCAGTGAGGTCAATAGAGGTGAAGAAGTCGCCCTTCCTGATGCCAGCCAAAATAGATTGAAGAGACTGCATTTTGAACAGTTTATAAACAACGTAGCGGTTCAGTCTTTTA